CCCCAAAACCCCAAAACCCCAAAACCCCATATCGCTAAATAAATAGAAAATATATGGAATTCAATATTATGAATAAAGGTTGCTCAATCTAATAATTAAATAATTTATAGAAATATTTTTTCCAAAAGCTGAGTTAGAATATTTTATTAGAATAGCCTACAATAGCCTTTATCATTATTTTTTAATATATTACTGTCTCATTGAATTCTGATTTTGTGAGAAACCATTACTTGTTGTGTTAGAAAAACTTTTAGATCTTGCCTAAGATTATTTAAGAGTGCTTACCTCCATTAATTGACTCTAGTTTTAGTTTTTCTTCAATAGATTTACAAGCTATAGTTTCTAGATTTAATGAGAGTTCTGATTTATTGGTGGAACAATCAAATGACTATTATTAATATCACTCTAGTTTGAGTAAAATTTCTGGATCATATTGTTTCTACTTTACATATGCTGACTTTGTTTCCTCCTTTATAATATTGAGTGGCTTAGAGTACACTATTGTTAGTATCTATGTTGTTGCTATGTCCCACTTCCATTTGCTGCTGATTTCAAGTTAAGCATGCTATAAGGGTTTTCTATCATTTTCATTTCTCTATTATTAGTATTAGCAGTTCGAGCTTATAAATGAGATTGTGAAATAGTTGATTGATATTGGGTTTAATGGTCTAAATTTGATATACTATTTTTGTCTTTTAAATGAGTTAGCTGTGATTTGTTATAAGAGTCTTAGTAAATGTCTGCCATCATTAGCTCTGAATTATTTAGCATTCTAGAGTCTTCAAATAAACTGCCTTCAGTAATTAGCTAATTATCATAGTTGCTTAAGTTATTATTCAGCAACAATTTTTGATTATCTTGCGGCAATTAGTATTGGGTCATGCTAGAATTTCTTTATTAGATTGGTTTGCAGCTAATTTATGAAATATTAAATTCGATTGTCTTTTTTTGTTTTAGCAAGTTGAGTTAAGTCTTGTTGCCTTTAATCCTATCTTTAAGAGGACTATTAAAACCAGCATTACTAAGTATACTTGATCGCTTTTATACATCTCTTGTCCTAGATCTGATATTAGAATCACATATCTCATAGTCTTTTTATTTGTTTACTAGTGGTAGAATCTCTTCAATATAATCATCTGCTTTTGGAACAAAATAGGTTTCTCTTATTTCTTTCATATAATTGAGCTCTTGATCAACATATTTATTGGGATAGTCAGCTTTCAAAAGCATACTATCCTCTTCTAGTTTAAACTTTGCTTCCATTATCTTAAGTATGTTCAATTCCTTTTGAAGAGCATTTTTCTCAAGCATCATCCAGGTCTCCATATCTGTGGCCTTAATAAACTTGTGAAAATTTTCTATTGAGATTATATATACTTCTCCTTCTTGTGAGAAACAACTAACGCTTGTCGAATAGTACCTATCTTTTATAGCATCCTCCTCACCTATCACGTTTCCTTATCCAATTATCATGATTCTGAAATTCTGAGTGGACTCCACTGCCTTCTTGGACTTAAAGTTATTAACAGCCTTAATAAACCTGCCATTCTTGACATTTTACTAGTATTACTTATTCTTCTTCTAGGGTAAGAACTCCATCATATCAAATAACTCACGTTGAGTAGATTAATTCTTGACTTTCTTTTTAACTTCAAATTCACCTTTGATTACCAAATAGACTGATAGACATTAATCACCCTCTCTATACACTATCTGGTTGCGTCTAAACTGTTTCTTTTCAAAATAATAACTAAACTTTGCGACTGAATTTTTAGTCCATTTACTAAAAAATGGAATGCTCTAAAGAAACTTGATGTTCAAATTAAGTTAGTTTTGCTAAATCTTTTTGAGCACTTTATCATATGACTATCTATCAAGGGTAGCAAACATACAATCTTCTTTGCATATAATTGTAGCTGCTCTTGGCTTGAGTTGTATCAATGCCAGTTCTCCAAAACTACTACCAGCAACTAGGGTAGCTACCTCTCTGTAGAACTCATCTTTCATTGGATCTTCTGGCTCTATGAAATTCATTTTCATGCTGCTGATGGGTACCTTATTAAGAGAGTTCTGATTCTTCTATGATATTTCATTAGAAGAAGCATTTATGGAAGGATTTATTAGCATACGACTGGTGGTATCTAACTTAAATGATCCTCGATTTTGAGATTTATCAGTTTCAATGGTATCTTTGGAGTTTTGCTGATTCTTGAATAAATCTCTCTGATTGCTAATGCTTCTATACTCATCTTCAGGACTACCGTTATTATTATCATTAAGATCGTCTATTTCAATGGACTTCTCATCTATTGAAGAGTATCTCTTATTCTAATTATGCTAGTTAATGTTTTAAGATACATTGTTATTATTGTTAGTGGGCTCTTGCTCAGCTCTGCTAGTAGAATTTTATGAATTTACGAACAGTATATTGCTTGAATCTTTATGGATAGGATTCGTGTTCGATTGTGAACTATTCATTCCTATTAGAGTGTTCTGCTTAGCTATTGTTCGAAGACGTTAAGCCATTGTGAATTTTTAAGAGACATTTTAATTAGCTCGCTCAACCGTGGTCTTTCTGCGTTTTGAGTTGGGAATCAGAACTCCAACGGATCCTTGAAATATTATGTAGAATTTATCACCATAGTCACCTTTACACATATTATTTAAAAATAGTATACCGAATGAGAAAATGATATCCCCTGCTTTGTAGAATTCATATTTTAGTCTGACAAGTATTTCATTAAGATCTTCTTATTTGATATTATCATGCTCCTAAAAAAATGCAATCTTTTTAATCAAAGGCATAATAAGTTTTTAATCAGGCTCACATCTAACTTATGTCATTTTACTTTTATTGTTAATTACAAAGATTGAGGTTTTAATAAGTTATTTTTTAATTAATTGTGATTGAATTACAAATATAACATCATTCACATTATTATCATTAGATATAAATCATACAGCAATTATAAATTTTAAATTACAATGGAATCCCTACCCCCTAGCTTAAAATAATCCAACAATGTAATTTATGGAGTAGCAGATCCAGAGAGAGGTGTCTACCATATAAAATTAAACAGACCAGAAAAGAATAATGCCTTGACAAAGGAGATGAGTGAACAGATAGTTGCATGTTTGCATGAAGCAGCTACTGATGAAAGTGTTAAGGCCTTATTAATGTATGGCACTAATGGATAATTCTGTGCAGGCAATGATGTGGAAATGATCCTTAAGTCTGATCCAGTGCCATTTGAAAAGATTTCTGAGCAGATGTTTGCTATAGTAAATTTCCCAAAACCATTTTTCATTTATGTGGAAGGTTGTGTAGTTGGAAACTTGGCATGCTTGATTGCTTTTGGTGACTTTGTTTACTATTCTGAGGAAGCCTTTTCAATGACTCCATTCATGTCAGCAAATTTATCTATTGAAGGATTAAGCTCGATAATGTATCCAAAGCTTGTTGGACGACGAAAGGCTAGTGAGTTACTTTTACTTGATTAGAGATTATACGCCAAAGATGCCTTGAAATATGGATTTATTAATGGAATAATCACTAATAATCAAAGGCCAAAGACTGAACCCTACATCAAAGATATTGATAAGATTCCTAATTTATAGAAAGTGCTTTAAACAAATTTGAAAACATTCATGAATGCCAAGAGATTAATGCTTGAGGGTTTAGATCCTCAGTTTTTAAAGACTCACAATCTAAGAGAACAAAAGACATTCTTTGATGCTGTAAGTCATCCTGATTTCAAAAAGAAGATGTAGATATATATCAAGAACTTATAAAAGAAGCAGCCATAACCTAAATTGTGACGTGACGTCTTTAATTATTTATAGTCGAAATAGTTAGCTTAAAATTTTAGATATTTTTCCTCAAGGGGTTTTGGGGTTTTGGGG